CAGTAGCTGACGTGGGGCTGTGTTTGGATTGGTTCTGAAGCAGTGTTGGTGACATGGGGATGAGTGGCACTTGCCCAGTGCCAGGGGCTGTTCTGCTCCGTGGCCTGCCCCGCTGGCAAGCAGGCCAGGGGTGCCCAGGGAGCTGGGAGGGGACACAGCCGGGACAGCCAACCCCAGCTGCCCACAGGGATGTTCCAGAGCATGTGGAGCCATGCTGGCGAATCACACTGGCAGGGAGATTGGCCAAGGGCGGATGCTCTGGAACTGTCTGGGCAGTTCATTGGTGAGTGATTACTTTCAGTTGCATTACTTGCTTTTCTGGGGTTTTGTTTTCCTGTCTCTCTTTGCTGTTTTTTTCCTTACAATAAATATATTTTAACTTTTTTTTTTTTCATTATTAACCTTTCTTTATCTCACCCTACAAGTTTCTTTCTCACTTTCACCCTTGAGATTCTCCCGCATCCCACTGGAGCAGGGCAGAGTGAGGGAGTGGCTGTGTGGTGCTTAGCTGCTCACTAGATTAAAACATGACAAGTTGTTTTTTTAATTATCTACTGTTTTATGCCACAGGAAAAGGTAGTGTGGAATGATCAGAAATTGTTTTGCTGCTTCATGGTTGGTTTGTTGTGGTGGTGTTTTTTTTTTCACTGACTCTCTTCTGTCCCCACCACCATCCAGGTGATGTGTGTTTTATTATTATGAGGGCAGACATTTTGCTGTTTGAGTTCCTTGGCACAATGAACAGGGAAGTTTAACGTGTGAGCTTCCTCTTGTCTGCTGTTATGTAGCAGATGAGGAGTCCGTACCTCAGTTTCCTTCCTAATATATTTTAGTTTGAAAGTGTACAGAAAGCAAAAACTGACGTGTTTTCAGGTCTCTGAGACTTGAATAGACACAGTGCAACATCCATCAGTTCTGGCATTAGTTGCTTTTATCCTTCAAAAGTTAAGGGCTTTCCTCAGATCTAAGGCACCAGGCGCGGTTTGCATGATCCACCAGCGTGACAGAAGTTGCAGGGCTGCCTGCAGCGCTGCTCATGTTTGTCCTTGTCTTGTTTTGATGTAGGGAAGGGGAGCTGAGATAAACAGTATGATGGATTCAGAAGGTTCTGCCCCAACCAGTTCAAAGGAATACACAAGCAATGATGTAACTGCTGCCTCTGGTAAACATTATCTTTGTGGCTACTGCGCAGCCTTCACAAACATCGCCGTCACTTTTCCCATCCAGAAGGTCCTGTTCCGGCAGCAGCTGTATGGTTTGAAAACAAAGGATGCAGTGCACCAGCTACAGAAGGATGGGATTCGCAACCTCTATCGTGGCATCCTCCCTCCATTAATGCAGAAAACAACCACGCTTGCTCTCATGTTTGGCCTGTATGAAGATTTCTCCTCCCTGCTCCACAGCCACCTGAGTGCCCCGGAGCTCCTGACGCGCAGCATGGCAGCAGTGCTGGCAGGGACCACGGAAGCTTTTCTCACGCCTTTTGAGCGAGTTCAGACTTTGCTTCAGGACTACAAACACCATGATAAATTTACAAACACTTACCAGGCTTTCAAGGTACTGAAAGTCTATGGGGTGAGAGAGTATTATCGGGGATTGGTGCCTATTCTGCTCCGAAATGGGCCCAGCAATGCGCTCTTCTTTGGCCTGCGGGGACCGATCAAACAGTGTCTGCCAGAAGCAACTTCTTACAGCACTCACTTGGTCAACGATTTCATCTGTGGAGGGCTGTTGGGTGCCATGCTGGGGTTCTTGTTTTTCCCAGTGAATGTTGTAAAAACTCGTATGCAAGCTCAAATTGGTGGTGAATTTCAGTCCTTCTCAAAAGTTTTTGCAAAGATCTGGCTTGAGCGTGATAGAAAACTGATCCACCTTTTCAGAGGAGCTCACTTGAATTACCATCGTTCCATCCTGTCCTGGGGCATAATCAATGCAACCTATGAATTCTTGCTAAAGCTGTTGTGAAAACCACTCTCTTCCTTTGGCTCTTACGTTCATTTGGGGATTGGCACATTTGATGTCACTTAATCGCAGGGAACAGTGCCTGCATAGTGTGAAAGGTAATTAGTCTTGGCCTTTGGTATTTATGGGGTGAATGGTGATGCATCTAAACCTTGGTGCAATTAAGATGAACTTTTAAAAGTATTTATTTCTTGGCAGGTGAGTTTGGAGCTACAAGGCAATTACAAGGGTTAAAAAAAAAAAAAAAAAAGAGACTTACATTAGTCTAGTGGCTTGTTCTGTATCACTCCCAAAATTCCTTAATGCTCCACGACAGAATGTGCTTCACTGCCTGCATTGTAGAACATGAAAATCAAGGAGGGATGAAAATTGGTTCCCTTGCCTGATAAACTTCAAAATACTGATTCAGGAACTGCATTTTTTTCAATGTTTTAGGGTCCTAAGTACTCCTTTTTGTTTAAAGCCAAAAGGACAGATCGTGATGGGGATGACTGAAGTTTAGAACTTCAAGCTTAAGCTAAACCTACGCAAACTCTTCTGCCAGCCGTTCTGACACTTGGCTTTGAGGTGAACGTTTCATTCAGCAGCATGAAGGTGGTCGCTGCGCCTGTCACTGCCCCGTGAGCTGACTCATTCCCGGGGATCTCCGTGTGCGTGTGCCTTTCTGTGAGAAGGGAAAAGTGGAGGGAATGAAACAGCAACGTTACTAAAGCTTTAAAGTGTCCTTTCTTGTTTAAAAACCAACTTGTAAAGGAGGAGTTTGTTCTTTTTTTTTATTATTATTATTTTTTTTTGTTCCCTACTGCTGCTTTTCCTGTTGCTTACAGCTGTGGGGCAAGGCAGAAGATGGCCCTTAAATAGTTCAGCTTGATGCAGCTGCAAAGGTAGTTCCCAAATACAGCTGTTCTGTGCTGAGGGGTCTTTTGCAGATCACTTCTGTTTCATTTGGGCTGTGGAATAATGGATCACAACAAGGTATTTTACCTGAAACTTGGAGTGCTGCCTGTGTAATGTGCACTCTTAACAGTTCTGTCAGACAGAATGGTACGGGAGCACTGATGAGATGAGATTTCTGGGTATTGCCTGCTGCCATGGAGGCCTGTTAGGTACCCGACAACAGCCAAAGAGAAGCTTAGAAGCAGCTAGGTAGGACCAGTGCAGTGTTTGGAAATGTGTGTAAGGTCTTCTGTAGGTGAGTATTGAAAAAGACTTAAAGAAATATGAAGTATTGTGTGACTTACAGACTGGGGATTTGAGAGATGTAAGACTTCAGGCCTTAGAGAAAGGGACAGAAGAGCAAGCATGATTGTAAACCAGGTGAGGATCTTAACAAAAAGCTTTTCATTCTCCTGGGGGACTTCATTTTATGAAACTATATATAAACCAAAATATTTTGTACAATGTGGGGCAGGTCAGAAACTTGTCTGAATTGGTCTTTTCATAAGTGGCTGTTACTTTTTTAAATTTGAGTTTTCCATCTGCCAAACTGTCCTCAAATATTGATTCTAATCAGGTGTTACAATCACAATATTGTCCCTAGCTTCACACTTAAAAGCAGCCAGCCACAACTGAGCATTCTTGTATCTGAATGTTTGTGATTATCTGCATTTAAATAAAATGTTTGCTGAATGTTTGTTACTGGCAGAATCTGATTTTTACCAGTGTACTGTTTTTTGTAATCACTCCTTGATGGAATAAAAAAATTTGCATCGTGTTTCTCAGTGGAAGACAAACTTCTCTGATGCTGGGAAGTCTGAAGCATTGAGGGTCAGAGTTTCCAGTGAACGTGCCACAAGCTGGTGATGACCATTGCTGTAACAGAAAGAAAACCAGTGCAGCCCTGGTGTGCAGCTGTCCCCACTGCAGGGTCTGCTGGGGCAGATCTGTGCTCGGGGATCGTCTTTGCTTTGGCAGCGTTGACGTGTAACGCAGTGAGAGGAGTTGCACGTGGACAAGTTACAGCTGGTTTATGTGTGAGAAGACAGGTGCTCATGGTCAGGGGAGAGAGGGGCCCGGTGAGTTCTGGCACACACATTACATGGTTTACTAAACAGCGGGTGCTGCCAGGTGGGAAGAGAGCACAGGAGTTGTGATTCTTCAACTAACATGAAAACACTGTTCAGGTGAGTGCCAAATCTGTTTTTTCTTAACAGACTATAACCCATGTGCCTGAACTCTGTTCTTAATTCATGCAGCATCATAAGAGTACAGGTAGTGCTGGGAAAGGATTGGGACAAAGCAGGTCTGCCAGCCAGGGGCTGGCACGCAGGGTCTGTGAGGTGTGGCTGTGCAGGGCTGGGTTTCTGCAGGCACTGTGAAGGTGAAAGTGCATTCAGAGCAGGGACCTTGCCCTGGGTTATCTCCCTGACTGGCCAGTGTCCTGTTCTGTGGGACAGCAGGATCCTCAACTCTGTAGCTGCCTTGTCTCATCACTGTGTTGGGCTAAACCAAGACATTGCCTGGATTTCAAGAGGGGACTGGCCTCAGATGCTGCTGTCTCTAAAAACCTGCATCTGGGACTTGCAGCGAGGTTTTGACAACCTCTGAAGGAGAATTTTACAATGATGGGTGGTGCCTCAGTGGCTCTTGGCGGACTACAACAGCCATTTCCAGCTAAAGAAAGGAAGCGGAATTCCAACAGCAGTTACAGGAATACCACCAAGAGAATGGTTAAGAGAGTCAGACTTTGGAGGAGGGGGGACATGGGAAAGAACACAAGCTTTTGCGTACAGAAGTGAACTAATATGAAGGCAACATCTCGCAGCAGTTCTGAAGTGATGGCAGGGTTGGAAAAAGCAAGAGCTATGAGAAATAAACATCACACATCAGTCAGGCTGTGATAATCCCGTCTGGTTTGGGTGGTTTTTTTTTTCTCATAGAGACTGATGCCCTCACATCGCCAACAACCAGAGCGACGTCTTTCCCCATGTTTACTCCACAATGTGTAATGAGGTGGCAGGAGAAAGCCACAAGCCCCAACAAGCCCAAGGGCCATTTTTGCAGTGTCAGGATAGGTAAACTGGATGTAGTGTATTACTTTAGGCAGGGTACAGACTGTTCCATTGGCTACGCTCCATCGAACAAAGCTATTTCCTAATTAATAGGCTCAGAGTCAAAATCTGACTCGTAATCTCATTTTCAGGAAAACTTGATGGAAAAGCACAGCTGGGTCTGTGATGCACAAGTTTGAGAACTGCAGCAGCTTAGTATTACTGCCTGTAGGGCAGGCACTGCTTGCTTGTTTCCTCAGCTGCTTAGATTGTATTCCTTTGCCCTGCTCAAACCCACCTTCTGATTGAAACCCAGAGCTCATGTTGCCCCCACAGACTTTGTCGCCCCATTTACAGGCAGCACAACAGATGACAGGGCCATGTGCAATGTGTCCCTCATGACAGAATTCTGACACTCATCTGGACCCCTGGTGATGCTGAGGTAGATTTTTTTTGTGCAGATGCTGTTTTCATGGTGCCTCATGGTGACTTCACTGGAGCCCGAACCTTCGCGAGTGTAACAGGGCAATGTATCATTCCTGGCGCAGGCACCCCACCCAGATACAGCCACCTGTGGCAGGGCTGGCAGGAAAGTTTTCTGTTTCAAGCTGCTTTCTGTGGGCAGAGTTGCCTGCTCACCCCGCAGGACTCCTCCCACAATGCTGCCTTCAAGGGTTTGAACAGGAGCTCTGTACCCCAGAGTTACTGCCTCAGGCAAGGGAATGACACTGTTATTACTGTACTGGCCCCAATGTGCGTCCTGCTTTTGAGGCTTCACAAGCGAGCCATTACTTCTCACGGTAAGGACAGCCATGAAGACACCCACAGAGGGAAAGACACCTGTGGACAGAGTGCATTTTACCCCTCACCAACACAACCCTGATCTCCGGTTAGCTGCTTTGGTGATAATGATGCGTCTAGGTGCGATGATTGCATCTGGGTGTAACAATCCCACCCTGCTAAGGGTGTACATTCAGGGAAAATACATAACCGTACCATACCCATGGACTAGCCTGAACAGGACGTTCAGGTTTAAGAGCAGCAGGAAAATAAAAGTCAATCATCTTACTGCCATAAATAGCAGGCAGCCCAAGAGCCCTTTGAACTTTCCTGCAGGGCAGCTGGCTGCACTCCAGGATCTCCCCTTGAGCAAGGACACCTGTTGAGGATACTCCCCAGGGTTAAGAGATGCCTTGGCACAACAGATCATTGTTAAGTTTTATATCTATATAGCATGCTTAAACTTTGAATCTTAGCTAAGGGTGCACTCAGTCTTAATTTTACTCATATCCCATTTAGCTTGTCCTCTGTGTAGAAAATAAACAGGTGTACCTCACCATCAAATTCTTTTCCCTTAAAGTCTCATTTACTGCTTCAAACTTTGCTGAAATGCTGTCTTGTATCAATATATTGTTACTTTTCCCTTGTGAGTGAAGTGCGTAACTCCATTCCTGTAACACAGGTGGTTCTGCTCTAAGTACCATTTTTTTCCACTTGGTTGTCAGAAGTAGGCAAGAACCAGTAAGCATTACAGAACACAGCTCAATGTAAGATAAATACATTAAAATAGATTTTAATTCATTGAATTATTAAATGTTTAATTTATTATGCAAGCAAGAGCAAATGTCCACAAATAGTAAGTTACTGTACGGCTGTAAGTACAATATTTTCAGAGCAGTTCTTATACTCCCTATACTGTATTAAAAGGCTACAATTTTTCCTATGAAATCTCAGGTATTTCAAAATATTCTACATGCACAATTTGTTCTTGTATTAAAAACCTATTACTTAACTGAAGATACTTAGTGCTTAAGAAAATGCACCTTTGACTAAGATCAGGAAATTAGAATTATGTTTCTTTTTCCTGCAGGACAAAAATATTATGGGCTGCTCATTTTTTCCTTTCACTCTTAGCTTTTTAAAATCTTGTAAACTAGGTTTTTAAAAGCTTTCATTTGGCAAGTGTATTTCTTTTTTCTAAGAGTTCACATTTCATAGAGCAACAGACCCATGTTTTATGGTATCAGGACCTTCTCCACATCAGTGTTACTTGAATTTTAAAAAAACCCACAGAACAAAACCCAACACCAACAAACAAAAAAAAAAACCCACCAAAATCAACCAACAGCCCCCACCCCCCACCCCAAAAAACCTGATGTTTACATTCCAATACTGGTAGTAGGCAATCAAAATGTCCTTGCCAAGACATT